TCCAGGTTGGCTTGTTTGATTCTCTCCAGGATGATCTGTCTGTTTTCGACATAGAACTTTGCACAAATGTGCGGAAGTTCAAGTCGCCACATTCCGTGTAGCACGCGAAGCAGAAGAAAGTACTAAAAAAGCATAATAGAAACAGTGAGCAGAGGTGTGAGACAAAGGAGTAATAAAGAAATACAAAACAGTTTCATTGAAGATCATAAGTCACAGGGAGTGGATGCATCTGCGCCACTGAGAACGATTTTGAGCCATATCACCAATTGTTTCCAACCATAGATTTTTACCGTCCCGAGGACCCCAGCCTGGAAGTCTACACCTTTCTACGTGGCTTAGACCAACTGTTGTGGATTTTATTGACTGATGCCAGGTTTTTGTTTGACCGCCGCTAGCTTTTTTCCAGCCTGACCCTATATCCGCTAACATAGCTCGTCGAGGGAGGCGATGGCTTGGCATACGTAACACATGTCCTAACCATCTCAGTCTTTGTAGCTTCACGACTTCGTCGATTGATTTCCCCTGTTTACCTAGAACTCGACGCCTAACCTCCATGTTGCTCACCTTATTATGCCACTTTACACGGGAAACAGAACGCAGGCACCTATGATCAAAGGCAGCTAGTCTTTTCATGTCTTCCACTCTCAGTGGCCAGGTCTCACAACCATAAAGGAGGACGGAGCGGACTGATGAGCAGTACACCCGCCCTTTGGTCGATAGTCGAACATCTCGTCTACGCCAGAGACGGCGTAAACTAACAAATGCGAAACGAGCCCCTTGTATTCGTGCTGATATTTCGTCAGAGATCAGCCCGTTGGGGCTGATGGTACTTCCCTCCAGGATGATGCGACTTAGTATCTTGCTTGGAATGGACAGAAGCATAATTCCACGCCAGTTTTTACATTGACTTAAGTCTCCTTTCTTTGGAAGTTTGAATAAGTATCCGTTCTTCCAATCCTCGGGTACTTTGCCCTCTTTCCACACCTTCTCCAGCAGTGGTGTCATCAAGTCCGCTGTTGTCTCTGGGTCTATTTTCAAAGCTTCTGCTGGGATTCCATCTGGTCCTGGTGCTTTTCCAGCTTTTGGCATCTTGATTGCATTCAGGACTTCTGATTTCGTCGGGGGGTCAGTGTTCACTGGTAGTTCTGCTTCCGTTGTTGGTATTGCTGGGCGTGTTGTAGGTGGCGGACGATTTAGAAGTCTTTTGAAGTGTTCAGTCCAGTGTTTTCTCTGTTCCACCTCTTTGGTGATTGACTTTCCATTGTCGTCCTTTATTGGCTTAATCTGTGTCGAACGTTTGCCCGATAGGTGCCTAGTTGTTTGGTAGAGTGTGGCGAGGTCTCCTTTGCCTGCAGCTTGTTCTGCTTCGTTTGCCATGGTTTCATAATATTTTCTTTTGTCTTCCCTGGCACTCTTCTTCACTCTTTTGTTCAGTGTATTGTAGCTTGCATTCAAATCGTGTTTTTGTTGCTCGTCAGTGCACTGGATAATCTTTTGTTTCACCATCCTTCTCTCTTCTATTAGTTTCCAAGTGTCCGTAGTGAGCCACTGTTTGTCCTGTCTCTTCTTTCTGCCTAGAACTTCTATGCAGGTTTGACTCCACACCGTTTTCAAGTTGTTCCAGTGCTTTTCGACGCTGACCTTTTCGCTGGTGTTGATTTGTGTCTCGGCTTTGTCCTTTATGCTTGCAATGAAGATGTCCTTTGTAGCCTGGTCCTTCAGCTTTTGAGTGTTGAACTTGGCTTGTGGTCTATCTGCAGCTCCTCCTTCTTTGAAAGCTTTTAATTTGATTTGGATTGTCCTTTGTACGAGATAGTGGTCTGAGCCAACGTCTGCTCCTCTTCTTGCTTTTGTGTCCAGTAGGCTGCGCCTCCACTTCCTTGAGATTGAGATGAAGTCGATTTGGTTTTTGGTTTGCCCGTCTGGTGACACCCATGTAGCCTTGTGGATATCTTTGTGCTTGTATACACTGCCACCAATCACTAGTTCGTTGAAGGCGCAGAAGTCGGAGAAGAGTTCTCCGTTTTCATTCATTTCTCCTAGAGCTTCTCTACCCATGATGAGTTCCTTTCCTGTGTTGTCTGGTCCCAGTTTGGCGTTCATGTCTCCCATTAGTATTTTCATGTCGCCAGCTGGAGTATTGTCCATTGTTGCCTGTAGTTGTCTGTAGAATTCTTCTTTCTTCTCGAGGTCTGCGTTGTTTGTGGGTGCATAACATTGTATAATTGACACTTTCCTTCCTTTGGAGTTGAATCTGGTGGTCACTATCCTCGCAGCGACACCAGGGTCCCAGTGGCTTAATGGTCTACGAGTTAGCTACTCTACAAAACATGATGATTATTCTAATTCACAGTAGCATTCTCTCCACCCACTTACTTGTTCTTTGTTATTACAATTCTTTTTGACTCATTTCTGTTTACTGTCTCTATTTTGCATTTCTTTTTACTTTCTTCTCTTGCTTTGTGTGGTACATGAAGGGAGTGTGGAGACTTGAACTGCTGCACATCGGTGCAAAATTCTACGTTGAAACCATGTGCTTTTGGAAGTGTGTGGGCGGTTGTTACTTCCCGGCTGCCCACACCGTAGAAGTTGTTGATTCTTCGGGTACCTGAAACAGAGAGAGGGTTAGTGTTGCGTGACCGCAGAGCCCAGGGGACAACTGCTTGAGGCCGGTCACATATGGCCTGTATGAACTGGTTTCTTGGTTTGGTCCCGTATTAGTAAAATTACCGCCGGTCACAGACTACCGCAGGGTAAGTCGGGATGTACAATTTTTGGGGTCGACTTTTTCTAACCCCCTCTCTCCAGAGTGGAGAGAAAGCATGGCTGGCTAACACGCTGGTCATCTGATGGAAACACCACACTTCTGTTACACCCCTGTTCCCCAGCAGTACGACTTCGCCCACAGACCCCCAGAATAGTGTAAGAAAAATTCTTACACTAATCAGGTAACTGCCTTTTAGTCTAATCGCTATCCTAATAATCAGCACCAACGGGTTGATCTCTGACGAAATCTCAGTACTGAAACCGAGGGCTAGTTTCGCATATGCCAGTTTACATTGTCTGTGGCTTAGTAGATGTGATATCCGACTATCGACCAAAGGGCGGGTGTACTGATCAGCAGTCCGCTCCGTCCTCCTTTATGGCTGTGAGACCTGGCCATTGGGAGTGGTAGACATCAAAAGCCTGGCTATCTGTCTTTGACCATAGGTGCCTGCGTTCTATCTCCCGTGTGAAGTGATATAATGAGGTAAGCAATATTGAGGTTAGGCGTCGGTCGAGTACTGGGTAGGTGGGAGGGGAAATCAATCGACGAGGCTGTGAAATTACATCGACTGAGATGGTTAGGACATGTGTTACGTAAGCCTAGTCATCACCTTCCTCGACAATGAGCAATGTTAGCTGATATAGGGTCAGGCTGGAAAAAAGCTACCAGAGGTCAAACCAAAACATAGCTCATCAGTCAATGAAATCCACAGCCACGTAGGAAGGTGTAGACTTCCTGACTGGTTGGGGTCCTCGGGACGGTAAAAACCAATGATTGGAAACAATTGGTGACATAGCTCAAAATCGTTCTCAATGGCTAACGCAGATGCATCCACTCCATGTGACTTATGATTTCCAATGTAACTATATTGTTCTTCGTTATTACTATTCTTTTGTCTCACATCTCTGTTTACTGTCTCTATTATGCATTTCTTCTACCCTTTTCTCTAGCTTTGTGTGCTACGTGGAAGGAGTGTGACGACTTGAACTGCTGTACAGTGTAAAGTCCTACGTTGAATGAATGAATGATAATAGCTTTATTCCAAAACAGTACTTGCGACACAGAATAGAATTCTCAGCATTCTACTACAGTATTGCATCCAGTTAGTAAATTAATAGTAAAGTAAAATTTTACATAGATTAAGGGTAATCTCAGTTAGTTTTGACAACAACATATTAGCATGTCGGTAGCAAAGCCAAAATTAAACAGTGTTTGAAGGTGCTAGAAAAATAGGTTCTAGCATATTTACTGGCGTAAGCAGAAGAAAGAAATAAAGCTGCACATAACAAAAGGGAGAGAGAGAGAGAAAAGGAAAAGAAAGAAAGAAAACGTTGTACCTATAAATGATATAAGTTGGAAAGACGAGATCCAGTTGTTCTACTGACTATTTAATAAGTTATAAGTTTCACACCTAATGCTTTCTTTATCGCACACAACACGAGCTAGGTAGGGTATAGTTGAGTTTTTGTACTTACTAGTGCGAGCATATAGTTTTCTATATAGGCTTCTGGTTTGCCCTAAAGAGATGGATACAAGAGGAGAGTTGTGAATGAAGAGGGTGGTGTGAGTTAGATAAAATGGATTTCGCCCATTTTTCACATGACTCCATGTGCCCGTCAACCAGAATATTAACAAGCTGGTTAAGTGGCACATTACTTACCCTGCTGACAGCCTTTAACATCCTGCGTAATAAGGTATAGTCTTTCTTCAGTAGCCCAGAAAAAACTAAGGGGGAACAATAGAGAATAATAGGCAGAATGGGAGAGTTAATGAATCGTAGGGGTAAGGGTTGGATTGGGTTATCCCAGAATGTCTTAACTTCTTGATTTAGAAGGTAAGACGGAATATTTTCTTAGAAATCATCAAGATATGAGACGACCAGGAAGGAAAGCTCAGCAGATAGAATGACGCCTAGGTATTTAATTTCTGACTTGGTATCTATGTCATCAGTGTCATCAATGTTGCACACCTCGTGAGTGCTAACCACCAGTTTGTTTAGGTCAGATTTGTGCCCTGAAGGTGAAATTAACTGTTTGGCAGCCAGTCAGTAGTAGACGGCTATAGAAAAGGCTTAAAAGTACATTGCCCGGCAGTCAAAGCTGTATCATAAGCGTGCTTGATAAGCACGGCATTCTGCCATTGAGACACCAACATAGAATGCATTGAAAAAATAACAACAACAACAGCAACAGGTAAATACATACATACAGTTTAAAAATGTATAATAAATTACCTTGTTAAGGACCAGTATAAACGGAAGACGCATTTTGTATAGTACACTACATGCATAAAGCATATTTGACATAAATGTTATAGGATTATGACTTCTTGGTGTATCCATCACATAGATAATTATTGTAGGAAAAGAATTACCCTACCAGTGTGTATAAACAAATTAGATTCGCGTTTTCAAATAACCTACTAGTAATTCTGTAATAATTGCTCCTGAAGCCGACCATGTGAATACTTCAATTTGTCCAGGTGTATCAATAACGGCATAGGATACTTGACTTGAATTATTGTTATTGTTATTATTGTTGCTTTCACTATGACTATGAATTAAATCCACAACTTGATGAAATTTTGAAGCGAAGAAATTCAACGATGTCATAATAGCACCATTTGGACCATAACCGTATTGTTTCATCACTTCTTTAAACTTGACAGTATCACGAATATCTTTCAGAGTAAAATAGTTACAATGGAATTTTAAAAAAAAAGTGCCAAAGAAGCCTTACCAATATTAGGACTATAAGGGATATGATGAACAGCTGGATCTAAATTTATTGTATACGGTAAATTCGAAGTTGTTGTGGTTAAATACTCTGTCAGTTTATTGACAAAGGTTGTTTTGCCTGAACCAGCCATACCCAGAATAATTAAGCATACAGGTTTGCCGCCGCGTAATTCTTCTTCTGTAACACTCATTGTTGATTGAATGAATGAATGAGTGACTGACTGACTAATTTGTTTAATAGAATTCTAGATAAATGTGAACAACAGAAAGACTATTTTATAATTACTGTCGATAGGTTGGTGACAAATTTATAGTGCGCAAAAATCAAAGTCATGCTTCACACTTAACTAAGATTATTCAATGATCCACACACACACACACATACCAATATTGAGTTTACTATGTAACATGAAAGTGACGAAAAGTTTCACTTCCTCGACATCGTCATGGAACGGCCTAGAAGACGGTACTCTTCAAAAGTCAATTTATCGAAAGCCCACAAGGAAAGGACAATATACCTGCATTTTTATTAGCTTTTGTCCAACTAGCTTTAAACGTGGTCTAGTCAAGACTCTGTACTATAGAGCGAGGAGAATATGCTCTATAGAGAAACTAGAGGAAGAGTTTAAGTTCCTTGAAAACATATTGAAGAGAAATGGGTACCCTACAAAGGTTCATCAACAAGTATAGAAGATCTGAAGTCACAAATGTTAAAAGCGAATCACAGTGGGGAAAAAGCCAGTCTACCTTCAGCTTGATTATAAAGGTGAAAATATTGCAGCGATGATCAACAGAAGGCTGAGTACATCACTAGCCATAGCCTACCCTGCAGCTAAGCTCGTTCGTGTCTATCGAACAACTTTCTCTTTGGTGCAATCAAAAATCGATAGATATCCTTCTCCTCATGTTACCTCCAATTGTATATACAAATTTATATGTATCTGCGGGAGCAGTTACATTGGAAGGACAGAAAGAAGAGCATATCTACGATTTTCTGAACATGTACCAAAAAGCTTATGTCTAAAGGGAACAAATAATTTAAACAGTGCCATCGCCATGCATCTCCTTGACACGGGTCATGAGATGGACGTCGAAAAGTCGTTCAAAATTATCAATAGGCAAAAGAGAACAATTCTCCTCGAGTTTGCTGAAGCCATTTCCATCAAGTGGAGCCTGAAACCTGATTTATGCGTCCAGAAAGAAGCGGTTATCAGCCTTTCTTTGCCCTGTCTGGTAACTGGATATTTTCACCTCTCTTTCTTCCGAATGCGAAATGCTAAAAGTTTCCAATGTGTATGATTATTATTGTTCGGAATAGTGGTTAATATTGCATATTTATATATGTATATATTTTTAGTGTATGCATAAATTGATCGGTTGACTGATGTTTGTTTCAAATGAACTCTGTGCAAGTATGTCAAAATTGTTTCTGTAGATATATTCAATAATGTCTTTGCCATGTAAGCAGCTGACGAGAAGGCAACGAAATAAGCACTGATGGTACCATTTTATTCTGCTAAAGCTGTAGTTCTTGCTTTGTTCAAATTCATTAAGAGGAATAAATGTATAAAATATTCTCATTTATGCTTTAAAATCAAATCTTACAACACCAGCGTCGTTTAACAACTATATGTTAAAAATTGACATTCTCAAGTTATGACTGACTTTTGTAGTAGAAACTGAGTAAATGTTTCACAAAAATTCTCAATACTTGAATCACTCCAAATCTTAGTATGGACACAAAAGGATGGTGTAGTGTTTATGACAACTTACACCACCACCTCTAGCATAGACGGCTGTTAATCGGTTGACCAACCATAAGCAATTCTATTCGCCCTTCTTCATGACTATGAGTGAGACATGGCCATTGGAAGTGGGAGACATGAAAAGCCTAGCTGGTTGTCTTAGATCATAGATGTTCCCGTTTTGCCTCTCATGTTAACTGGTATAATAGGGTGATGAATATTGAAGTTATGCGTTGAGTGTTTGGTAAGGAAGGGAAATCAATCGCTGAAGCTGTGAAGCTACATTGATTGGTATAGTTAGGGCGTGTGTTACACACAGCTAACCATCGCCTTCTTCGACAACAACCAATGTTAGCCGACATAGAATTAGCTTGCAAAAGAGGTAGTGGTCGTGGTTAAATCAAGGCGTGGAACCAGTCCATGAAACCTTGGACAGTTAGTTTGAGCCAACCATGTAGGAAGGTATAAACCACCTGGTTGTCTGTCTGTCTGTTTTCGACATAGAACTTTGCACAAATGTGCGGAAGTTCAAGTCGCCACACTCCGTGTAGCACGCGAAGCAAGAGAAGAAAGTACAAGAAAAGCATAATAGAAACAGTGAGCAGAGGTGTGAGACAAAGGAGTAATAACGAAGAACAAAACAGTTTCATTGGAGATCATAAGTCACAAGAAGTGGATGCATCTGCGCCACTGAGAACGATTTTGAGCCATGTCACCAATTGTTTCCAACCATAGATTTTTACCGTCCCGAGGACCCCAACCAGGAAGTCTACACCTTCCTACGTGGCTTAGACCAACTGTTGTGGATTTCATTGACTGGTGCCAAGTTTTTGTTTGACCGCCGCTAGCTTTTTTCCAGCCTGACCCTATATCCGCTAACATTGCTCGTCGAGGGAGGCGATGGCTTGGCATACGTAACACATGTCCTAACCATCTCAGTCTTTGTAACTTCACGACTTCGTCGATTGATTTCCCCTGTTTACCTAGAACTCTACGCCTAACCTCCATGTTGCTCACCTTATTATGCCACTTTACACGGGAAATAGAACGCAGGCACCTATGATCAAAGACAGCTAGTCTTTTCATGTCTTCCACTCTCAGTGGCCAGGTCTCACAACCATAAAGGAGGACGGAGCGGACTGATGAGCAGTACACCCGCCCTTTGGTCGATAGTCGAACATCTCGTCTACGCCAGAGTCGGCGTAAACTAACAAATGCGAAACGAGCCCCTTGTATTCGTGCTGAGATTTCGTCAGAGATCAGCCCGTTGGGGCTGATGGTACTTCCCAAATAAGTGAAGCGGTCAACGTGCTCTACCACTTCACTTCCTATTTTTAAACTAGGCGTCGATGTAGTCCAGTCCTGTAACATCATCTTGCATTTGGCGGGAGCGAATCGCATGCCAAACATTCGTAGATTGCGGCTCAAGGTGTTTAGAAGACTCTGCATTTCGTCAGCGTCTTCGCCTAGAAGGACTATATCGTCTGCATATTCCAAGTCAACGAGATTATTCCCAGGTAGCAAGTCAATCCCTGAATCGCTGAAGTCACCTAGGGTTAAGTCCATTAACACATCTATGATGAAGTTGAATAGAAAAGGAGATAATGGGCATCCTTGACGGACACCACTGGTCGTCATCAGTTCAGATGACAGCTCGCCGTAAGCCCTCACCTGGCTGTATGAGTACGAATAGAGTGCCTTAATCAGTGCAATATATTTTCTCGGAATTCCCTTTACAGCCAAGCATCTCCAGAGAACTTCCCTATCGACAGAGTCGAATGCTGCCTTTAGGTCAAGAAATATAATGACTGTTGGACGCCGGTAGGAATGCCTATGTTCTAGAATCTGTCGGAGGGTGAAGATATGATCAATACACCCTCTTCCTGGTCTAAAGCCTGCCTGGCTCTCTCGTGTTTGTGCTTCCCGAGCACCACTCAGTCTACGCATGATTATTGAGCCTAAGACTTTAGATACTATATTAGTCAAGCTAATCCCTCTGTGATTATCACAGGAAGACTTGTCTCCCTTCTTGTATATGGGGATAATCAGTGACTTACACCAACCCGATGGGACTTCTTCTGATTCCCAGACGCTGCCTAGTACCTCAGTTAATCCGGACAGTAAGCTGTCTCCACCGTACTTAAATACCTCTGGCGTCATTCCATCAGGTCCCGCTGCTTTGCCTAGTTTCAGATTGGTGACAGCTTTAGTAACCTCAGTTAGGGATGGAGGACCTGTGTCTATATCCCATTCAGGGAGGTGTTGGATGCTCGGAAGGTTGAGCGTGGCTGTGGGCAAATTAAACTGCTCCTCATAATGCTCTTTCCAACGATCCAGTCGTCTATCCTGGGAGCTAATTATAGTGCCATTTTTTTCCGAGATTGTCTCACTGATGATTTGTCTTCTCCCACCCGTTTCCCTGATGAGTGTAAAGAGTTGCCTGGTGTTGCCTATCCTCGAAGCTTTCTCCATCTCTTTGGCTTTTGTCACCCACCACTGTTCACGGTCCTTGCGGAGACTTTTCGTAAGTTTCCTTTTGTGCAGCTTTCGCTCCTCATTGAATTCGGAGCTCGCCGGAATAAGTCTTCTAGCATCTATCAGTTCGGATGAGGCGGTGGAGATCCAGTGGTTTTTACTCACCTTTGGGTTTACCTTATTCACAGCTTTTACAGCTGTATCTATGGCTGCCTGGATATTTTTCCAAGCTTCTTCAGGGTGAGCACAGCTGTCGAACACAGATATGTGTTTAGCTAGTTCTTCCTCAAATACGGATTTAGTTTCCTGATCGAGCTGGGGACGTGATGGTTTTACCGCCAGCTGTTTCCTACGTTCGTTCAGTCGTAAGCACACCCGAGCACCACCTGGTTGGGGTCTTTGGGATGGTAAGAACCAATGGAGGCTGGACACAATTGATATAATAAGGCTTAAAACCGTTCTCCATGGGCTGCAGATGCAATCACACTTTATGAGATCTCATATATCTGCTAGGCCGTCATGTTTTTATCCATGTTACCATTCCGTCTCGCATTTCTGCTTATTGTCTTTCTTCTTCCTGCATATCTGCGCGAAACTCTCTTTATTTAAACGCATAAAAACTTGGTACAGTATGGCACCAAGAAGGATGCGCCACACAACAATGATAAAACAACATAGATCAAAAGAAAAAAGAAAGAGAAAAAAATATATATGTAAGTAGAGAATGGAGGAAGAAAAGCAGTCATGCTTAACAAGTTCAAACAGTATTCGTCAACTATCATCGGGAAGGGAAGAAAGAAGGAAATTGCAACACGTGTAATAGCACGCGATAAGTTTCATTGATTGTTTGTTGCTTTATTCAATTCATTGTGTGGGGGCTGAGATACTGCCCGGGTGCCCAGACCGAAGCAGGTGGTTATATTAAGGGACTACGCCCCGAGCCTTTGACTTGGAGTCTAATCTGCAAGGCAGCGGGGCAGCGTCAGGAGCTGCATTACCATGGTTTCCGGTGACCCATACGCCAT